CCCCAGCTACTCAGGAGGCTGAGGCAGAAGGATCACTTGAGCCCAGTAGTTTGAGGTTGCTGTGAGCTAGGCTGACGCCATGGCACTCACTCTAGCCCGGGCAACAGAGTGAGAGTCTGTCTCAAAAAAGAAAAAGAAAACTCACTGAATAGTTGGAAGACATTTAAAAAAAATAAAATAAAGTAAAACAAATTTTAAAAAAGCACACTCATACCGGCGGGTTCAGGGAGTCAAAGGGACTTTATTTCAATTAATATATGATGTTCCTTAATTTCCATTTTTTAAGCTCATTAAAATAAATTTCAAAAAGAATACATTTCATTTCTGTTTGAATATTTTTTAAAAATGCAGAATAAGCCACAGAGAAAAGGACAAACACTGTATGATTTCACTTATATGAGGTCCTTAGAGTAGTCAAATCCATAGAGACAGAAAGTAGAACGGTGGGTGGCAGGGGTGGGGGCCGTGGGGTGGGAGGAGGAGTTGTTGAATGGCGACAGAGTTTCAGTTTGGGAAGATAAAAAACTTCTGGACATGGACAGAGGTGACGGTTGCACAACACTGTGACAATGCATAATGCTACTGGAATGTGCACTGAAAAACGGTTAAGATGGTACATTTTATGCTCTATGTATTTTGCCACAATTGAAAAAAAAAGAGCAAAGAGCTGTAAAAGGCATGCGCAAGAGCTGTATGAACTGATGAGTAATTTCCAAGATAAATTATTAAGTAAAAAAACAAAGTGCATGTGGGAAAGAAGAGCAGTGGAGAACACACTCATGGGTCTCACCTGTGCAAAAGAAACACAAAGGACAGAGGAGAACTAAGGAGTCCGGTACCTCGGGCAGGACGAGGGGGGAGTGGGACAGCGGGAGCGATACTTCCCCACCCTTCCCCACCCACGCCCTCTATGCAGCGCTGACTCACAGCTTCACACCGCAAGGCTTCACATACCAAAAAACAAATGAGTAAAGCCAACCAGGACAAGGGGTGAATGCAAAATGGAATATTAAACAGTAACAAATGAACCTATTACAAACGACATGTATTACGAACAATATGACCACCCTGAAGGCGGTGGGGAAGAAAATAAGGATCCTGAGTAACTTTGGAAAACAGTATTTGGAAGGGATATTGTGAGGCTACAGACTAAAAACTGTACACACTAATTAGTAAATTGGTTTCTCACAGGGATGTGGGTGAACAATTCTGAAACAGCTTTAGTTGTACCAAGATTGAACAAATCGGTAAACACATGGGTATAATGAGAGCCAGGTGCTTCACTGCTGGAGAAGAAGTTACCAGAAGGAAAAGGGAAGGCTAGAGAGAGCCCTGCAATATTGGGTTGAAATCAGAGAAATCAGTATTAACTTCTTGTTTTTAATATAAATGCAAATGAATAAATATAGAAATATAAGTACAGGTGTGTGTGTTAATATACATAGATATTTCCTGTCTCGGCCAGGTGTGGTGTCTCACGCCTGTAATCCTAGCACTCTGGGAGGTCGAGGCGGGCGGATTGCTTGAGATCAGGAGCTCTAAACCAGCCTGAGCGAGACCCCGTCTCTACTAAAAATAGAAAGAAATTAATTGACCAACTAAAAATATACATACAAAAAAATTAGCCAGGCATGGTGGCGCATGCCTGTAGTCCCAACTACTCGGGAAGCTGAGGCAGGAGGATCGCTTGAGCCCAGGAGTTTGAGGTTGCTGTGAGCTAGGCTGATGCCACAGTACTCACTCTAGCCTGGGCAACAAAGTGAGACTCTGTCTCTAAAAAAAATTTAAAAAAACAAAAAGATATTTCCTGTCTCTGTCCACCTTGAAGGAAGACCTTCAAGCAGTGATGCTCCAGCAGCAACAAGCACACCTGGTGGCCAGACCTTGGTTTCTAAACACCACTGTCCAAGAAACAGAACCAGATTCTTGGAGAAATGGCTGATTTCAGGGCCGGGGCAGGGAAAGTACAAGATGAGCCTGAAACACTTGGTAGCGCTAGAAAGTAAAGAAGTGCTCAACAGAAAGAAGGGGGCCAGGTGCAGTGGCTCATGCCTGTAATCCTAGCACTCTGGGAGGCCGAGGTGGGAGGATCGCTCATGGTCAGGAGTTCGAAACCAGCCTGAGCAAGAGCAAGACCCTGTCTCTACTAAAAATAGAAAGAAATTAATTGACCAACTAAAAATATATATACAAAAAATTAGCCGGGCATGGTGGCGCATGCCTGTAGTCCCAGCTACTCAGGAGGCTGAGGTAGTAGGATCGCCTGAGCCCAGGCGTTTGAGGTTGCTGTGAGCTAGGCTGACGCCATGGCACTCTAGTCCGGGCAACAGAGTGAGACTCTGACTCAAAAAAGAAAGAAAGAAAGAAGGGAATGTTTAAGGACGCCCAATAGCCAAATCTGGGACAATCTGAATGATATAAATCATAAGCGTAGGGGACCACAATCCACTAAAGGAATCATCCTTGGGTCCATACTGATATCTATTATAAATAAATAACTGAATAAACAAATAAACGGGAGAAGGGACACATCTTTCTCACGGTAGAGCTCTAATTACTAGATGTAAAAGGACTGAAGGAAATAGAAAATCTTCACTAGCCAAGCATCACAGTGACAACTGTTTGCTATGGACAGCATGTCTGCGCCCCCCAAATTCATATGTTCAAGCCCTGACCCCCAACAGGATGGTATTAGGAGGTGGGGCCTTTGGGAGGTGATTAAAGTTAGGCAAGGTCATGAGGGTGGGGCCCCAGGATGCCATTAGGGCCCTTTAAGAAGATAAAGAGGCCGGCAGGGTGGCTCACGCCTGTAATCCTAGCACTCTGGGAGGCCGAGGCGGGCGGATTGCTCAAGGTCAGGAGTTCGAAACCAGCCTGAGCAAGAGCGAGACCCCATCTCTACTATAAATAAAAAAGAAATTAATTGGTCAACTAATATACATAGAAAAAATTAGCCGGGCATGGTGGTGCATGCCTGTAGTCCCAGCTACTCGGGAGGCTGAGCCAGGAGGATCACTTGAGCCCAGGAGTTTGAGGTTGCTGTGAGCTACACTGACGCCATGGCGGCTCACTCTAGCCTGGGCAATAAAGTGAGACTCTGTCTCAAAAAAAAAAAAGATAAAGAGACAAGAGTTCTCTCCCCACCATATGAGGACACAGCAAGAAGGTAGTGAGCCCTCATCATACCCCATGTCCTGAGACTTCCCAGCCTCCAGAACTGTGAGAAATCAATGTCTATTGTTTAAGGCACCCAGTCTGTGTATTCTTGTTATAGTAGCCTGAGCAGACTAAGGCAAGATCCACCAATGGATGCTAAAATTAGTCGGCAGAATAGGATCATAAACAGGGTATTTGTGGCCGAGCTCATGCCTGTAATACCAGCACTCTGGGAGGCTGAGGCAGGAGGATTATTTGAGGCCAAGTGTTTGAGGTTGCAATGAGCTGGGTTCCTTCCACTGCACTTTAGCCCAGGAGACAGAATGAGACCCTGTCTCCAACAAAAGAAAAAGAAAAAGAAAAACCAGAAACAGCGTATTTGCATACTCTTGAAGTACTTCCCCACAAGATACTTATTAATTAGAGAGGGAACTTAGCCACTTCACAGTGGAGAAACCTGGCAGGCACCACCCTAACCAGCGATCAAGGTTAACGTCATCAGTGATATTACAACATACACTGAGAAGGACACGGTGTCGCCTCTGTGGTATTCTTGCCAAAAGTGCAAAACCTCAATCTGATCATAAGAAAACATCAGACCCAACTGAGGGACATTCTACTAAACAACCTCCCAGTGCTCTTCAAAAGCGTCAAGGGTGTGAAGGGATGGCAGACTGAGGAGCTGCCACACACCAGCAGGCTGAACAGACTGACCACGCAACACAGGGGGCTCTGAGTCAGATCCCGAATCGGATCCTGAGAGAGAAAAGGGATTTTAGTGGGAAACTATGAAATTCAAAGGTCAGTGGACTGGATCATGGATGGGTACTGCCCTGCTAATGTCCTTGTTTTGGTAACTGTCCTGAGGGTCACATGAAGTTACATTAGGGGGAGCTGGGCTAAGGGTATGTGAGAACTCTTTCTGGGGAGCAACTTTTCTAAAATTATTCTTTTTTTGTAGAGGTGGGGTCTATGTTGCCCAGGCTGGTCTCAAACTCCTGGCCTCAAGTGATCCTCCTGCCTTGGCCTCCCAAACTGCTGGGATTATAGGTGTGAGCCACCACACCCAGCCTGAAGTTATCTTAAAATAAAAAGAGGAGAAAGAATTCAGGAGTGTGTGTTTTATACACCACAGAAACACTAATGACAAAAAGTGAATAAAGAATACTTTGGGATCTCCTCCACTCTTGGGGTCGACTCATTCCTTCTCTGGAATGTACTAAGAAAAAGAATACTTTTGGCTGGGCGCAGTGGCTCATGCCTGTAATCCTAGCACTCTGGGAGGCCAAGATGGGCGAATCCTTTGAGCTCAGGAGTTTGAGACCAGCCTGAGCAAGAGCGAGACCCCATCTCTACTAAAAAAAAAAAAAAAAAATGGAAAGAAATTAGTTGGACAACTAAAAATATATAGAAAAAATGAGCCGGGCATGGTGGTGCATGCCCATAGTCCCAGCTACTAGGGAGGCTGAGGCAGACGGATTGCTTAAGCCTGGGAGTTTGAGGTTGCTGTGAGCTAGGCTGATGCCATGACACTCACTCTAGCCCGGGCAACAGAGCGAGACTCAGTCTCAAAGAAAAAAAAAAAAAAGAATACTTTTGTACTTGGGGGAGAGAGGGACTTGGACTATCTAGAAAATTCACCATGTGGCCAAGAGAACACCTGGGGAGGTAAAGCAGGCTATAGGAGACCAAGCCCTCTGTTCTCACTCCATCACTGCCTTGTGTCCTCTAATTCCATGAAGTCATTTGTGAGCACTCAGCAAAGGCCAGGGACCAGGTCCTGGGACCGAGTGCAGAGGCCTCCTGCCCACCCCCCCACCCCCGGCCACACCCACAGTACTCACCTGCGGAGAAGCGACTGTTGCAGGCTCTTGCAAGTGGCCAGGGACTCCCCGGTGAACATGTGGCACACGACGACGTGCAGACAGCGGGCCATGAAGGCCAGCACCGCATCGGGCTGGAGGGTGCCACTGCGGGAGACCAGGCACAGGCGCTGCAGCGAGGGGCACTGGCTGAGCGCCTGGAAGAACTGGGCGTTGGCGCTGAAGTAGGGCTGCTCCAGCCTGCGGGAGAGAGGACAGCGTGAGACTCCACAGCACGGGCCCACCAAGCCATGCCACAGGGTCCTGGATGTGCTGGGAGCCGGGCCTCTTGGCCTAGAGCCCAGCCCAGCTGCTCCCTCCCTTGTCTACACCACAGTCCCATGGAGCACTGGGTGAGGACTCAGACCCCTAGTTTCTTCCTTGGCGATCCTGATGCGGGGGGACCCGCCAGCCACTGTCTACAGACCTAGACTAAGAGTCACTGGCTCAAGGCCATCAGGCTTCGGTGCGCACAGCTGCCTGCGTTCGCTGTGCTGCCTGTTTGGTGCACCCAACTGACCCCCTAGCACCCCACCCTCCCTCAGACACTGACGTGCTGGGTGGGGGGTGCAGAGAGGAACTCACATGAGGTCCCTGCCCTCAGGGAATCACCGTGATGGAGGAGACAGATGATGCACAAACCACAGGAGAGGGTGGGAGGCTGGGGTTCTGGTGGGGGAGGTGCCTCAGCCAGGCGGGGACCACTCTAGCCACGACAGGAAGAGTGGACGGCACTGGATGGCTCCAAGGCCAGAGGGATGCTGAGGGTGAGTGGGGTGAGCTAAGTAGTTGACATGCAGCCTGCAGACGACAGGAAGAGCTGCAGGTATGTACTCGGGTGGCACCTGTTTTCAGGAAGATGGACCGGGGCCATCAGGCAGGAAGGAGACCCCAGGAAGCTATGGCTGCAGGGAAGCACAGGGGAGAACCCAGGGGAAGGGCAGGGTTTGGGAATGGGAATAGGGGACAACATTCCAGATCCTTCCTTCAGAGTCTGTCTACCAGAAAAGGAAGCAGAGGGACAGAGCAGGCTCTGAGGGTGCAGTGACAGACGCAGGGACACGCCGCTGCTGAGAAGCTACAGCTGGGAACATGGTTGGGAACATGGTTGTAGGACCTGGGAGATGCCTGGGCCATGGCGGGACATGGGTGCAATGAGCCCCTCAGAAATGAGAAACGGGCGGGGAGGGAGGAAAAAAAAAAAAATGAGCAACGGGAGCGGAGAGGGATGGAGGAGAACTCAAGGGACTTCAGGGGCTGCCAGGAGCACCTGGTGTCAGGGGAGGAGCAACTGGAGGGACAGGCTAAGAGCCAGGGGGTTGGGGGAGGCTGGTGTGGGCTGAACCATGTCCCCAACAAGGTACGCAGAGTCCTAACCCCAGGGTCTTTGCAGATGGAGTCAAGATGCAGCCACACTGGATCAGGGTGGGCTCTAAACCAAACGACTCGCTCTTTATAAGGCCAAGTGAAGACACAGAGAAGACAGAGGGACAACAGCCCTATGTCAACACAGGCAGAGACCAGAGTGATGCGTCTACAGGCCAAGGAGCACCAAGTGCTGCCGGGGTCGCCAGCAGCTGGGAGGGAGGCCTGGGACGGACTCTCCCTAACACCTTTCAGAAGGAACCGACTCTCCCCGCACCTTGACTTGGGACTTCCGGCCTCCAGAATCACAAGACGATAAACTTCTGCTTCTTTAAGCCACCCAGTCTGCGGTCAATTGTTACGACAGACTTGGGATACCAGCACAGATGCTGAGCAGAAATGGGGCTGGAGGCAACAGGCGGCACTGTTCTGAGCTGTCCCACACGGGAGCCACCGGTCAGTCACACATGGCTACTGAACACCTGAAATGCAGCTAGTGAAGCTGGTTTTCATTTTAATCAATTTAAGTAGAAATTCTGTGATGCTCCTAATGCTGAGATTATGGGGGAAATGCAGGTCCTCCTGGGGTGTGACTGTGAAAAGCTGCGGTGCCCACTGCCCAGTGCCAGCACGAGGTGTTGGGAGAGGCAGCATGCTCCCAAGTAGCTGTGACCACAGGCATGTCACATAACACCCAGCTAACTTTCCCTATTTTTTGTAGAGACCGGGGTCTCGCTCTTACTCAAGCTGGTCTCCCAACTTCTGGTCTCAAGCAATCCTCCCACCTGGGCCTCCCAAAGTGCTAGCATTATAGGCATGAACATATCTTTTAAGAACATTTTTTTTTTTAAGTCCTAAGGTGAGCTCAGGCTAAATATTTAGCAGACGCTGCCCCTAAAGAGAACAACTGAGACATCATGGCAAGGATTTTGAGCTCAGTAACTGAGAGGCCCCTAGGCAGACCACAGACAGTGACGAGAGGGGTGGAGTCCCCCACATGTACAGGGGGACTTATCACAAATTTACCAAGTCAAAAATCACAGGCAGGCCCGGTGTGGTGGCTCACGCCTGTAATCCTAGCACTCTGGAAGGCTGAGGCAGGCAGATTGCTCGAGGTCAGGAGTTCGAAACCAGCCTGAGCAAGACCCGTCTCCACCATAAAAATAGAAAGAAATTAATTGGCCAACTAATATATAGAGAAAAAATTAGCAGGGCATGGTGGCGCATGCCTGTAGTCCCAGCTACTCGGGAGGCTGAGGCAGGAGGATCGCTTGAGCCCAGGAGTTTGAGGTTGATGTGAGCTAGGCTGACGCCATGGCACTCATTCTAGCCTGGGGAACAAAGTGACACTCTGTCTCAAAAATAAAAAAAAAGAATCCCAGGCAAAGTGTTTCAGCCTTCACCTGCAGACCATGAAAACTATAGCGAGGATCCCTTACAGCTGCATAAACCACATATTGTTACCAGAATAAGAAGTACAAACAGCCATCCACACAGGGAAAAAGATATAATTAAAGATGCCTGGATTAGAAAAAACACACATCCTTCAGGTTCACAAGAATATCCCTTCAGTGAAAGCAAAACTGAAAGTGGCCCATTAAACCTCTGATACAGCTGGGTGTGGCAGCTGAGGCCTATAATGCCAGTGTTCTGGGAGGCCAAGGCAGGAGGATCACTTGTCAGGAGTTTGAGACCAGCCTGGGCAACATAGCAAGACCCCATTTCTACAAAAAATAAGCCAGCATGGTGGCATGTACCTATAGTCCCAGCTGCTGGGGAGGCTGAGGCAGGAGGATCACTTAAGCCCAGGAGTTGGAGGCTGCAGTGAGCTCTGATGATGCCACCACACTCCAGCCTAGACAACGGAGTGAGGCCCTGTCTCAAAAAAATAATAATGTCTTCATGGATTTAAAAAATAATAATGGGCCAGGCGCTGTGGCTCACGCCTGTAATCCTAGCACTCTGGGAGGCCGAGGCGGGCGGATTGCTCGAGGTCAGGAGTTCAAAACCAGCCTGAGCAAGAGCGAGACCCCGTCTCTACTATAAATAGAAAGAAATTAATTGGCCAACTAATATATATAGAAAAAATTAGCCGGGCATGGTGGCACATGCCTGTAGTCTCAGCTACTTGAGAGGCTGAGGCAGCAGGATTGCTTGAGCCCAGGAGTTTGAGGTTGCTGTGAGCTAGGCTGATGCCACAGCACTCACTCTAGCCTGGGCAACAAAGCGAGACTCTGTCTCAAAAAAAACACAAAAAAAACAAAACAAAACAAACAAACAAAAAAAAAATAATAATGATTTAAAAAAAAATTGCTAAGAATCATGCCCCTGATGCTGCCACAAGGACTCCAGAGCACTGGGGACCTGAGGTGCGGTGGCATCTGAAACCTGTGGAGCAGGAAGCAATTAAGTCCTAGCCCCAGCAGAGCAGCTTCAGATTAAGAAATGCAAATCTGTTTTGTTTTGGTAAACTATGAAAATCATTTTAATTTAAAGATGGTCAGGAAGTGCTTTCATTAAAATACATTGTAGAGACCAAGCAAGCAAAAGCCCTAAGCAAGCATCCCTCTGCAGACCTGAAAGCAGGAGCTGGGATGGTGCGGAGTTTCTGGAAGCAGCAGCGAGGCTCCTGACAGCAGGGGCGAGGATGGCGCAGAGAGGACGGCTGTGGTGGCCTTGGTCACTAGGTGGCGATGCGGGTCTACATCACCCGCCCAAGACCTCTCCAAGCAGAGCCTTTGGGGTTACAAACCAACCAGCAGAGCGCACGTGTGTGCCTGCTCTGTGTGGGGTGTGTGTGTGTGTGTGTGTGTGTGTGTGTGTGTGTGTGTGTGTACAGGGTTTAATCTTTCTTCAACTGAACAGCCACTTCCAGCTTCTTCCACCCCGGAGGAGTCACCATTCACAGGAGTTCTGGACAGGGATGGGCCCATAGGGGAATGTCCTGTCCACTCCTGCTCCCTCAGAGGCCTGGATGGGCGGGGACTGCATGTCCAAACCTCCTCCCAGCTCCTGGGGCAGGCAGCCCAGGACGGTGACAGAGCTGACCCACCACAAGTGCCCAGCAACATCTACGGGGAGGGCAGGGGGTGTGAAAGAGGTCTCCACTGTGCCCGGCCTCACCTTAGGGGGGCTGTGGCCCTTTCCCTTCCAGCCGTCCCTCAACCTTCCAACCATGGAGGATCTGGTCTCCAAATCCCACTCCCCAGTGGGCCTTGGGTCTCCCTGTGGCTCTGTGGGCACGAAAAGGCACTCAGATCACAGGTCCCATGAAGGATGCCCAGGCCTCCAAGGTATCCCTGGGACAGCGTGCCAGGGCCTGGCTCTGAAATGGCTCTTGCTTCCGCCCAGATGCTGCCCTGGTTCCGAGGTCACAGCAGCCCAAGGTGACTCAGAGTAATGCTCTCCCCCTCCCTCCACCACAAGGCAGGGCTTAATCAGTCTGCGGAGAGAAGGTGCCCTCTTCCGCCCAACTTGGAGACCTCTTGCTAGGGAGGTGTGTTATGAATCCCAAGCTGTGTGAGGCCTGGACCAGAACAACTTGTCCCTGACCACCTCCTCCCTACCAGGAGCCAGGAAGGCACAGTGCTCTGGGTCACAATGGTGGGGGGTGCAGTGGCCAGTCGCCTGGGACTGCCGGGGGCTGCCATCTCAGGAACATCCCAGGGAAGTGCAGGGCCCCGGCTGCCCTGGCAGCCCCAGGAGTGGTGTGCCAGCCTCCCCTGAGCCCCGGACACCATTTCTTCTGTGCAGCTCCTGCCCACAGGCAAGCAAGCGCCACCTGCTCCTTTCGCTCCAGCTTCCCTGGGCTCCCCTGCCGCAGAAGGCAGGCATCCAGAGGAACAGGGCCATTTGGCCACGTTTTAGAAACTGGAGTTTGTTCTGAACAGGCAGTACCCAACTCAGAGCAGACGTGGTTCTCAGCGGCTGCTGGGCACAGGCTTGAGTTTGTGCACAGAGATGCCATTATGAGTGGCGGGCAGGTTCTCAGGCCAGCCCACAAAACCCATTCATCTTGAGTCGTGCAGGCCTCCCCAGGCTGCACGCAGGACCTTGGTCCTGGGGAAGACACTTAGCCACAAGGACCATGTCCCAAACCCTGGAGGTCACTCGGTAACCACTAAATGCTGCCACGTTGCCCCATTCAATGCCCAGTTGCCCTGTGAGGCAGGAAACACTCCCGGCTACATGTGCGGACCAGCTGTGTGACCCGGGCAAGTTCACTGACACTCAGGGCCTTGTAAAGCGGGTGACACGGTCTACACTCATGGGGTTGTTGAGAATATCAAAGGGGTCAAGACCTATGAGCACATGAAAGAGGTGAAGTAGCTGGCTGACAGCACTCAAGTTCAAAGGGACACATACCACAGTCACCTCCTCCTCTGTCTTCCAGAACGCACCCCCCCCAAGCACCTCCTTCGCAAATCTTTTTTGTTTGTTTGTTTTTTTGTTTTTGAGACAGAGTCTCACTTTGTTGCCCGGGCTAGAGTGAGTGTCATGGCATCAGACTAGCTCACAGCAACCTCAAACTCCTGGGATCAAGCAATCCTGCTGCCTCAGCCTCCCGAGTAGCTGGGACTACAGGCATGTGCCACCATGCCCAGCTAATTTTTTCTATATATATTAGTTGGCCAATTAATTTATTTCTATTTATAGTAGAGATGGGGTCTTGCTCTTGCTCAGGCTGGTTTCGAACTCCTGACCTCAAGCAATCCGCCCTCCTCGGCTTCCCAGAGTGCTAAGATTACAGGCATGAGCCACCTCGCCCAGCCCTCCTTCACAATTCTTGTTCCTCTTCCTGACCAATTCTCGCCAAGTGCCCTCCCTGGCCCATCTAGGGGTTCCTCTGGCTCCAAGGCCAAAAGCCACCGATCAGCCGAGGACTCCAGAGCAGGCCTGACTCTCGCTCAGGCCTGCCCGCTGGGAGGCTGCGCATAGCCACTCTGGGGACACTTGGAGCACGGCCTGCGGCATCTCGACCTTCCAGTGCTCTGGCATGTTAAACTATAAGAATGTAGGACTTTCTTCTTTTTTCCTTGGTTTCTGTTTTTATCAACCACTCAGCTATGAGAAGCTCCAGCTTTTATGGGTTGGTGAGAAAGCAAAAATCCAGCAGCCAGACTGGCAGACCCAGACAGAGCTCAGCCCAGAGTCTGGGCCGGTTGGGCTGTCTGCGTTAGGAAACTTTCGATTCCCAATCACAAGGCACGAACAGGGTGACAGAGAGCAGACCCCAGGGGCTCTGGATGTTGAATGTCCTTCAAGGTCCACCTGCAGCTCCTCACCACAGCCTTGGGGAAAGCCAGGAGGAGATGGGGTGGGAGAAGCCACTGGAGAGAGATGAGCCAGTGAGAGACAGGGGCTGTGGGGGGCTGCAGAGACTCCGAGGAGGAGGAGGAGGAGGAAGGCATCCTCCGAGGTCAGAAAGGCTTCAAAATGGAGGTGGTGAAGGGGATTGACTGCTGTGGTCAGAGGTGACACGTTCAGCTACACGTGGTGACAATGTTCTCCCCAAATGTAACAATTTAGCCCAAAATTGACATGAACTTAGACTCAAACATCTAAACCAGGGGATGCTGAAAAGCCGGCAGCCCGGCTCTTGGAGCAACCATGAGGCTGCCCCTCCCCAGACCCAGACACGCTGACTCAACAGGGCAGAAAAAAGAGGCTTCGAGCAATCTGCTCTGCCATTTGGGAGGCCTGGGTTTGGTCCCTGGCTTCTTGCCCCGATGCCAGCAGGGAGTCCCAGCACTGCTGCACTCAGAGGCCTCAAGGGAGGCACCCGGCCTGGCTGAGCCACTCTGGAAGGCTCCAGGGTGTGAGCAGCAAAGCATTCTGCCGCCTCCACTCGGGTCTGGCTGCTTCCTGTGGTGCCCAAGCCTTCCAGGGGGAATCGGGGAGATTCACACAGGACACACTTATCTCTACTCTGACCTTGGCTCGAGGGCGAAGGTCAAGCTCTGGGTGAGACACAGTTGCTCCTCTGAGCTTCCACAGCCTCACCTGTGAAATGGGAGCATTGGTGCACCTGGCTCAGGGGACGGTTGTGAGGATGACTGGCTCAGAGGCCTGGCCCACGGCAGAGGCACTAAGTGAGCACTAACTACTCTGGGACAGTGACACATGTGCCCAAGTGCCCCTTCCGCTGAGACAGGCTTCATGCTCCCACGGCTGCCTCACATGCGCTCACCCAGCGAGGAACTCACAGAAAGCGACCTTCCAACACCTCCTTCCTGGCTCCCTGACCTGAGTCCCTCAGGGCGCTGGGTCGATGCCTTCACTACATTTGGGGTAATTTTTCAAGATCAGATCTATGTGTCAAGATTTCAAAGATATCTTAAGTTAACGAATTCTTATCCTTTAAATACTAGGACCTCAAAAGAACATGCTTTCCCCGAGCCATAATTCAGTGTAAATCCATCTCTGCTTGGTTCTCCCTGACAACAGCCTCTGAGGCCCGTGGGTTCCACCTCCTTCTGCTCCCTCAGACGGGTCCTGCTACCCCAGCCCCGGTCCTACCCACCCCAGGAGACCACACCCTGACCCCAAACCAATCCCTGTCTTCTCCATCTTGTCCCTCCAGTCCACGGGGATGCCAAGGACCCCCCTGGCAGACGTCTTGCAGCACCTCCACCTGCCTGCCCCGCCCACCTCACCACCTCCTCCCTCCCACCTCCCCACTCTGCCTGTGCATGCTGAACCCATTGGCCTCTGGCATATTTTAAGCCTCTTGGGCCCCTGCACATGCTACTTACTACTCCAGAAAGCCTTGGCCCTGCATCCCTGGCTAACTCCTACACAGCCTTCAAAAACCAAAAAGTTGAGCAAGAAGGTTGTGGGTTCAAATCCTGACTCTGCCCTTACCAGCTCTGCTATATAGGAACAATTATTACCCACCTTCAAGGATTATTACAAGGATTAAATGAGATTATGTACAACAGCAGTATTGTACATAGCAGTCACTTAAATAACCATAAGAAATAAAGACGACGACATTAAGCTCAGATGTCTGCCCCCTGCACTCCACGGGAGCTCCATCAGATTGCCACATTCCCCAGATTGCCCCTGAACCCCGTCTTGTACACAGCGATGCTCTGACCACAAGCATCTGGGCTCCAAGAGGACAGGCCTGTGTCACATCCATCTTTGAGCTCCACACCTGGCAGGCCCACAGCAGGTCTGCAAACAACAAGTGCTACTCACTTCCCCTCTGCCAGCCTCTAGGGGGAGAGCCAGCAGAGGCCAGGGAGACACCGACCAGGCCCCTCACCTGAGGTCCTTCAGCCGCTTGCAGTGTTTCAGCATGTCCGAGAGGGCGGGCATGTAGACCACCTTCCCCATCATGCCCAGGTTGGCCAGTGAGAGGGACTGGAGCTGCTGGCACTGCAGGCCGATACTGACCAGCCCAGAGCCTGTCAGCACACTGGGTAGCTGGGCCAGCGTCAGGTGCCGCAGGAAGGCCAGCTGGCCAATGGCGGCCACCTCCGAGTCCCCAACGTTCTGCGCCCGGCTGCAGGGAGGGAGGGAGTTGCGGATGGCAGGCTCATTGCGCGGCATGGCAGAGGAGAAGTTGGACCCAATCAGCTCAAGGTGTTCCAAAAAGGGCAAGTTCTTCAGCAGAGACCAGAACACAGAGGAAGGCTGGGGGACCGTCTGGCCCGAGAAGGGGTTGGGGCAGGACTGCACGCCTATGCGCACCTTCTTGCCAAAGCCTCGGGGCACAGCGTGCATGACAGGCTGGGCGGGTACCCGGTCGGCCCGAGGTGCCGAGTCCGCAACAGAGCAGACAGGCAGGGAGAGGGAGCGCAGGTGGCGCAGCCGGGCCAGGAGCTGGCAGAGGTGCCTGCCCAGGCCCTCGGAGCTGTGGTGGTGGGCGGCTGAGAGGTTCAGGTGCCGAAGGTTGCAGCAGGACACCACCAATGTCTCCAGGATGCTGCTGTCAATATCGTCCTCTGCCTTGCGGAGCAGGGAGTCCGGGGAGAGGCAGTGGACACAGCCGCTGAGGTTCAGGCTGGCCAGGCTCCGGAGGTCCTTGCCGCCATTGATAACCCGCTGGATCAGGTGGCCACCAGACAGGGTGCACCGGCTGAAGCTGAAGTAAAACGGGTTGTTGAACTTCATGTGCTGGAGGAGGGACGAGCCATTCAGCCAGGACTTGGGCAGCTGCAGGGCATCCAAGGCGACATTGCGGGCCATGGAATCTAAGAGGTTCTTGGTGGCCCCACTCTCAGCAAAGCTGCCAGGGACAGAGATGAGGAAGGCATGGAGGTTCTCAGGCGTGCGGTCGCTGAGCACAGCCAGGTACAGCCGCACCACCTCCTGGTTGATGTAGCCCGGGGCTAGGCGGGCGTAGAAGACCCGCAGGTTCTGGTAGTGGGGCACGTTGCTCTGGCCCACCATGAGCTGGCCCGAGAGGATGGCCCCCTCGCGCGTGCGGTCCAGGATCTCGAAGTAGAGCAGCAGCTTCTCGAGGCTGGTGCAGCAGGGCACCACGCCATAGGAGGGCGTGAACAGCGTCTGCTTGAGCTCTCGGACGCGGCTCAGTGTGGCCTTGCACTCGCCACTCAGCTGGCTGGCGTCGAAGCCAGGGCTCACATCGATGGCCAGGGAGCGCAGGTGCTGCAGGGCCGACAGCATCTTGGAGAGGCGCAGGGAGGTGAGGTGGCAGCCCGAGAGGTTCACCTTCACGAGGCTGCGGCAGCGGGCCACGTGCTCCACAGTGGAGCCTGACAGCCAGTAGCAGCCGGCCAAGCTCAGCTGCTGGATGTCCCGGCCGATCTCCTTCACCAGCTGCTTCACCTTGTCCTCATTGGCCTGCAGGACAGGGCAGAGCAGGGAGAGGAGGGAAAGGAGCTGAAAGCAGCTGGGCATCTCCTTCACCCCTAAGCATGCACGCTCCCCCCATGCTCCCCCACGACAATCAGGGAGCCGCGCAGGCCCTGCAGAGGCATGCCTCCGGCCAGGAGAGGAAGCCAACCCTACCCCTTCCCACACGCTTAGCTCAAGCCAACAGTCAAGACCACCCTGCCATGGGGCAGTGGGCAGCAGAAGAACCACATGACAGGGCAATGCCACTCCTAGGTATACAACCAAAGGAACTGAGACTGGGAGTCACACAGATACCCACTCACCTGTGATCCACAATAACCCAAAGGCAGAAACCACCCAAACATACATTAATAGAAGAATGGATGAAAAAATGCAGTCTATCCATACAATGGAATAAATACCTTTCAACCACAGAAAGGAACAAAGTTCCAACACCTGCGACAACATGGATGAACTTAAACATGACTCTCGGTGAGAGAAGCCAGGCACAAAAGGTCAATGTGCACGACTCCACTGACACGAAACGCCTACGACAGGCAAATCCGCAGAAACAGATGGTAGAATAGAAGCTACCAGGGGCCAAGGGAGAGGACAGTGGGAAGTTATTACTTAATGGTTCCACTTTCAGATGGTGAAAAAGTTCCAGAGATAGATGGTGGTGACAGTTACACAACATTGTGAAATGTGCTTACAGTCACTGAACTGCACACTTAAAAATGATTAAGACAGTAAATTTTATTTTCAGTCACAATTTTTAAAATGGTTAAAACGACAAATTTTATATCATATATATTTTACCACAATTCAATAAAATTAATAATGTAATATACTAAAAAACATCAGGCTGGGCGAGGTGGCTCACGCCTGTAATCCTAGCACTCTGGGAGGCCGAGGCGGGCGGATTGCTCAAGCTCAGGAGTTCAAAAGCAGCCTGCGCAAGAGCGAGACCCCGTCCCTACTATAAATAGAAAGTAATTAATTGGCCAACTAATATATATAGAAAAAATTAGCCAGGCATGGTGGCGCATGCCTGTAGTCCCAGCACTCAGGAGGCTAAAGGATTGCTTGAGCCCAGGAGTTTGAGGTTGCTGTGAGCTAGGCTGATGCCACGGCACTCACTCTAGCCTGGGCAACAAAGCGAGACTCTGTCTCAAAAAAAAAATTAAATAAATAAATAAATAAATAAAAACAAAAAACATCAAATTGTACACTTTAAATAAATGAGTCAATTGTATGGCATGTGAATCATATCTCAATAAAGCGTATAAAAAAAAGAAGAAGGGTCCTTAGCTGAGGAGCCTGACCACCCGCAAAAGCCTCCCGCGGCAGACTGCACAAGAGGGCTGCCTGGGCATGGCCCCTCTCTCTGACACACGCTGCAGAGCTGGAATCGTGCCCTACGAAGCTGTTTTCACATTCTTACATTTTGCTCATGAATCTAGCTGGGACTGGCTTAGGTGAACCATGAAATACTCAGTGGGGAGAGCACAGCAGCCAGTTACCTACAGCCGCACGCTGTGGCTGTTTCCAGCATAACCCTGTGGTGAGCAACGCTGCTTCGAGTATCCACATACAACAGGCTTCAGCACACAGGATTTCTTCTCTGCAGGAAAGGTCTACACACAGGACTGCGCACTCAAAGGAGAGGCATATTTTAAACACAGCCAGCTACTTGGGAGGCTGAGGTGGAAGGATCGCTTGAGCCCAGGGGTCTGAGACCAGCCTGGGGAACATAGCAAGACCCCATATCTACCCCATCTCTGTAATGAATAGAAAAATTAGCCAGGCGTGGTGGTGTGTGCCTGAGGCATAGTCAAGGATACAATGAACTACGATCATCCCACTGCACTCAAGAACTGGGAAACAGAGCAAGACCTTGTCTCTCCAAAAAAAAAAAAAAGAAAAATTATAAAACTTCTAGACACAGGAGAAAATCTTCATGATCTCAGGTTTAACAAAAGATTTCTTCAAAACAACACAAAAAGCACACATTCAAAATTAATAAATCGTAAAAAAAATAAAATAAAAATAATAAAAAAATTAAAAAAAATTAAAAATTAAAAAAAATTAAAAAAATAAAAAAAATAAATAAAAATAAAAAATAAAAAAAAATATATTCACGAACAATAGGTAAAAAAAAAAAAAAAAAAATTAATAAATCGTACTTCACCAAAAGTTAATATCTATGCCTTTCAAAAGACAGTTAAAAAATGAAACACCAAGCCAGACTGGGAAAAAAACCAGGGAGATAAGTCACAACACATATATCTAACAAAGGATGGGTACCCAAAAGATATACAGAACCCCACAACTTACTAAGGAAAACACAACTCTGTAAAAACTGGGCAAAAGACTTGAACAGACACTTCTGAAAATGGCCCATACACTTCACAAAACATGACAGGCAGCATCCTTCATCAGTTAAACCGTGAGTTAAAACCACAATGAGATACCATGTCCCACCCACTAGAATGGCCAAAACTTAAAAAACTGACACCTCTGAATGTTGGTGAGGATACAGAGCAACTGGAACTCTCGCCCACTGCTGGTGGGGTGTAAGATGGTGTCCTCACACTGTGCTTCTGGAGGGCAATGCATTTTCCTTTACAAGAAACTTCCAAACCTATCCTGTGACCCAGCAGTGCCACTCCTTAGGTATCTATGGGCAAGTAACTCTCCTACGCCCTCCAGGCCTGAGGCCCTAGGTTTCCTCCCAGAACAAGGTCAACATATACCTGCACTCTCCTCCCCAGGTGTCGTATCATCCACACTGTTCTGCCCTTGCTTTTGTCACTTGGTCCATCCTGAAGACTGCTCCAGTCAAGACCCCTTCTTTGTCAGCTGCACAGCAGGGCTATGCCAGTCCTCAAAGACAACATCTAGGTTGTTTCCAATCTCCCGTCCCCTCACCCACCTCACCTGATAGTCCTTCTGCAGCAACACGGTGTGCACGAGGCTCTTGTCAAGGCACAGGGCTGCGAGCTTCCGGCAGGTGCACCGGACATTCAAAATCAGGTCTGTGCTGGGGACGTGGCTGAGGATGTGCAGTAGGATCTCGTCAGAGAACCCCAGGAGGTGGGCGCCACCCGCCATCCCAGCAGAGTGTGTGTCATCATCGTTGGACATGTCCTGAAAATAAGGGGGACACCAATTTCCTACAGGATCCCCAAAGGCAGCCATCGGCCTGGCCTCCCCAGCCAGGGAGAGAAGCTAAGAGAAGCCCTCACCATGGTCCAGGGGAAAGAAGGTGCTTTCATGAAAAATCTTAACTGCATAGCAAAGAATTCATGAAAAGCTTCAAAACTCCTTTTTAGATCTGCAAACCATAATCTCTCTTCAAAAGTAAAAGATTAGTAAAAAGATCATTATGCATTTAAAAGAAGTTTTTCCTACTAAAGGCCACCGGTCAACTGTGGCACAATTTTAGGCTCAACAATGTAACCATGCACCAAGGTTCTCCACTGTTGAAAGCCACTATTCCCTGACTCTGTCCCAGACGTCAAACTATTCATATATTCTTGAAAACCCTTCAGTAGGAGAATGCTATCAAGAAACTTATTGAAAGCCAAGTGCAGTGGTGCACACCTGTAGTCCCAGCTGCTCAGGAGCTTGGAGCAGGAGGATCACTTGAGCCAGGGAGGGAGGGAAGGAGGAAGGAAGTTAGTTAGTCAGTCAGTCAGTCAGTCAGTCAGTCAGTTAGTTAGTTAATGAGGACAATAACACTGTCTTCACCTCGCAGGGCTGCCTTAACAGCTAAATGAGTTATCACACATCACATCCTTAGAACAATGTCTGACAACAACAGCTATTTCAGCATTGCCATTAAGGGTAAGCAAAAGTAGAGGAACCACCATTGAGAATAAAACTACACAAGTCCTTATAAAGAAGACAGTATCTACTAGACTAATGAGGTTTTCAAATCTTAAAATCAGTATTAAATAATAGGGACACAATTTATCTCCATTTCTCATATTTTCTGGTTAGAGACTCATGTTGGCATTTCCAATAAGATATGTGTAGATCTCATTTGCTGTGCTGTAGCTATCCAGCAAGCTACCAGGTGTTCCTTCCTAACGTGAGCTTTGGTCCAAATGCTCAATGCCTTTTTTTTTTTTTTTTTGAGACAGAGTCTCACTTTGCTGCCCAGGCTAGAGTGAGTGCCGTGGCGTCAGCCTAGCTCACAGCAACCTCAATCTCCTAGGCTCCAGCAATCCTGCTGCCTCAGCCTCCCGAGTAGCTGGGACTACAGGCATGCGCCACCATGCCCGGCTAATTTTTTCTATATATATTAGTTGTCCAATTAATTTCTTTCTATTTATAGTAGAGACCGGGTCTCGCTCTTGCTCAGGCTGGTTTCGAACTCCTGAGCTCGAGCAATCCGCCCGCCTCGGCCTCCTAGAGTGCTAGGATTACAGGCGTGAGCCACCGCGACCGGCCTCAATGCCTTTTTGACTTGTACAATCAAGAGGGAGAGGGGCTGGACCCACGCTAATGTGATATAAAATCCCCAAATCAAGAACAGAGGAATACACAAGACTTTACTAAGCAGGGTTCGTGGAGGATGAGTCCCTGCAACGCCCCAGCACTCCCGCCTCGGGCTCCTCCTGCCTCCTCCAGGGTGCTCCTCTCTCTAGGCGCCCAGGAGAGAGCGCCCTGAACCACCCCTGCTGCACTCCAGCAACTGTGTCTACACGGCCCTCACCTCCAGCCTCCTGTCTTCCACCCTGCTTCCCGTACATATGTGCATGGATAGAAACTTTGAGTTTTGGAAAGCCCTGCTGCTGCCATGGCAACCATGAGGGCCGTGGGGGAAGAGCCTATCTGCACACCCCACGCAGGCATCAGGGGTTTCCTGGGAACGCTGACTGTGCAGCCCTTTCACCCTGTCCCAGTGGGCTCCTGTCCTGCCAGGCCCAAGACAGGTGTCCAGGGATGTTTAAAGAATATTCCTCCATCCTCCAAAAGAAAGCTACCAGGAACACCAAAGAACATGGCCAACTCAGATAGTGTATTTATCACGAGGGTCAGAGAGTCAAGCTTATCTCGACGGCTTCGACTCTTCCCCCTGCCCTTCTTCATCTGCCCTCCCCTGCCCCCCAGCCTGCCTCCTTGCTTCCTCTGTCACAAGGGCAGAACGCAGCCCTCAGACCCAAGTCCACAGCTGTGCTGTGTCGTATTCTGGGTCCGATGACTTTCCCGTCACATAGTATTTCCCAGAGAACAGTCAAGGGGATCACTCAGGTACCTCATAACAATTGGATTCCCAACCTAGACCTGTGGAATCCATCCCCAAGGGACAAGCTCCTGAACCAGGGACTATCCTTGTCAGAACCAGGGATAATTTCTACCAAAACCAGGGACAACCCCTATCAGGAGGCCTTGGCAAATAGGGCTCTGCAGAGGACTTGGGGCTATGAAATCACAAGACTGGGTTTACTTCTATTTTGAATGGCCTGAGCCCCACTACCCCATCCCTAATTTGTAGATTTATGAAGTAAGAATGCCACTGGAGGCCAGTCACGGTGGTTCACGCCTGTAATTCTAGCACTCTTGGGAGGCTGGGAGGCCGAGGCAGGAGGATCGCTTGAGGTCAGAAGTTCGAGACCAGTCTGAGCAAGAGCGAGACCCCGTCTCTACTAAAAAAAATAGAAAGGAATTAACTGGACAACTAAAACTATATAGAAAACATTAGCCAGGCATGGTGGCACATACCTGTAGTCCCAGCTACTCAGGAGGCTGAGGCAGGAGGATCACCTGAGCCCAGGAGTTTGAGGTTGCTGTGAGCTAAGCTGATGCTACGGCACTCTAGCCTGCGCAACAAAGTGAGACTCTGTCTCAAAAAAAAAAAAAAAAAAAAAAAAATGACTGCCACTGGTGTGCTCTCATGGGTAAGAGGAAGAACAAGAGCAAAACACTATAAAAAACTCCAGCATCATATAATTTCCAGCTATGCTACTATGCTGAATTTTTCTTAAAACTACCTAGAAATCACAAGAATTAAAAAAAAAAAAAAAGAAAGAAAGAAAGAGAGAATGCACCAAGAATTAAGTCCCAGCTCCCTCTATCCAGCCTCAGCACATTCCACAGGATCATTTTTTCCACATGCTGTGCCTCAAATAAAAGAAAAATTTCATCTCAGGCCAGACCCCAAATGCTGTGGCAAGGCCAGCAGCACACAGGCTGGGCGGGGCAGCAGCTCATGATGGCCCCCCCTACCCCCTGAATCTCTGGCCAGCTAATCCTGGGAGGTGGCTGCTGGGTTTGCAACAACTGAGTCATTTCTCTGGAACTTAGTTTTCTTAGACAACTTTGGTAAATCTACCCTTGGCACCCAGAAAAGGTTGCAAGCTCTGGAGAAGCAAGAACAAACCAGAGGTGTCTACCAGGATGACAAGAGGGAGCGAATGGGCCTCCGAGTTCCTTTTCTTATTGTTGCTGTTGAGACAGGGTCTTGCTCTGTCACCCAGGACAGAGTACAGTGGCATCATCATAGCTCCTTGCAGCCTTAAACTCCTGGCGTTAAGCAATCCTCCTGCCTCAGCCTCCCCAATAGCTGGGACTGCAGGCATGGGCCACTGCGCCTAGTTATTTTTCTATTTTTTTGTAGAGATGGGGTCTCTATATGTTACCAAGGCTGGTCTCCAACTCCTGGCCTCAAGTTACCCTCCTGCCTCAGCCTCCCAAAGTGCTGGAATTACAAGCAAGAGCCACCATACTCAGCCCAAGTTTCTTAATCTGTGAAATAAAAACGTGGCCCAAATATGCCTACCTCCACACATACCCAAATAAATTCATACTTGTTTCCATCTATCTCTGAGACAATATGTTGTTAGCCACAGGGGAAACTGAGGCAGACTCATCCTCCATCTTAAAAAAAAAACCCAGGTAACTAACCCAAGGTCAGAGGGCAATCAATGCAGAAAGCAGGGCCCGATGTGCGGAGCCAGGAACTGTCCTCTCTCCAGCACCAGGAAAGGGAGGCTGGGGCCTCCTGAGAGGTCCTGACCAGACACCGAATTTCTGGAGCCTCTTGAAATTCCAATTCAGGGGTGAGAAACAGGCCCTAGAATGTGCTTGTAACAGGTCCAAGTGATCCTTATCAGGCACACTGGGAGCCACCTGGCTATAATGATGACATGAAAGTGGTTTAAAGAGTTTAGTTATTCATTAAACTCATTAATTTTAAAGTCAGCAATGACTTTCAAAATCAGACACCCCATTCTGGAATCAAAGAGAGGGGATGGCTGCACAACCTTGGTGAATATAGTTTTCTTAAAAAAAAACAACAACAACAAAAAAATCACTGAATTGTACACTTTAAAAGTGTGAATTTCGGCCGGGCGAGGTGGCTCACGCCTGTAATCCTAGCACTCTGGGAGGCCAAGGTGGGTGGATTGCTCGAGGTCAGGAGTTCGAAACCAGCTTGAGCAAGAGTGAGACCCCATCTCTACTATAAATAGAAAGAAATTAATTGGCCAACTAAAAACATATAGAAAAAATTAGCCAGGCATGGTGGCATATGCCTGTAGTCCCAGCTACTCGGGGGGCTGAGCCAGAAGGATTGCTTGAGCTCAGGACTTTGAGGTTGCTGTGAGCTAGGCCTGCCTCAGCCTCCCAAGTAGCTGGGACTACAGGCATGTGCCACCATGCCTAGCTAATTTTTTCTATGTATATTAGTTGTCCAATTAATTTCTCTCTATTTATAGTAGAGACAGGGTCTTGCTCTTGCTCAGGCTGGTTTCGAACTCCTGACCTGGACAATGCCCACCTGCCCTCCCAGAGTGCTAGGATTACAGGTGTGAGCCACCACGCCTGGCCTGAAGGTCAGCTTTCTAATGAGCTGAAACCCACCTTGCTGGACTGTCCCTCTGCAAAGCATCTTGTCTGCACAGAACTGCAACCCCAGCACAAGCAGGGGCTCTGGAACTCTAGGCCGGCCCTTCCTCCTGACACCTCTTCATGGAGCCCAATTCAGAGCACTTCTGGTGTCAGGATTTGGACAAAGGACTTGGAGTGGGGTGGGCTGGAGACGTGGCCACACGGCAGATCCTCCCTTGTAGAAGGCACAGGGAAAAGGATATTCAACTGGCCTGAAATGACCCAAGGGAAATGGGGGCTGGAATCATTCA